CCATTCCACATTATTACAAATAACTTCATTTCAGGACATTTTTTGAATTCTTTTATGTATGGATCATTTGGGTTGTTACCGACATCTGGTAAAAATTTCATGTCATTAGCACCTCTAGTAATATATTTACTGAGAAAAATGGTGACGTGTTCAATACTTATTTTACCCGCTGTATTTCTCTATAAGTGCAGCTTGATTCAGCAGCTGAATAAAAGTGACCTCAGTTTATGCGTGCTTGTCCRCAGGTTCCTTTTTTTCRTGCTCTGTTCWATTACTCGCCACACATATGCTCTTTCCTTTATTTTCCTCATCCTTCTGTCCTGACATTTACTCCTCTGCTGGGCCCTGCACGGCTGAGGAATTGAGTTCACGCAGATCAAACAAACTCCCTGAAGTGCAGTTAGTTGGGAAATGATGCATGTTGAGATAGAGGGCATCTCTATTCAAAAATTGCATGCGCATTTGTCATTCTGTACATTATTCCTGTCACCCCAGGATTATTTCCTAGTTGGATTCTTGCCGTATCCTTTTATTTTCCTCACCACAAAATGATCTCCTTTTGTAAGGTACTTTGATACAGTATGTGTCCACTATGGTTGACAGACTGATCGTTCACTGCTTCACCTTGTGTCGAAAACAGRAACAGTAATGGAGTTGTAATTCATGCAACCTTTTGCTTTTGTCATTGCATTTGCCCATRCATAACTCTTCAACCTGTGACAATAAGTTAAAGTAGAATGTGTTTGAAGACATTTTGTTAAACTGTTTGTTCTACAGAATTGTGTGTCTCCTGAATGATGCTACTGGCTACAGAGTTCAAGAAGCTCAGGTGGAGGTGTGTGTGAGAGACTGTGTCAACGACTATAAAGCCCTGTCACCACGACCATTCACCTTTGTGGTAAGGAAATGATTGGCAAAAGATTTGCCAATGAGGCTTTTGTTATTATTATTATTTATTTGTTTATTTATCATTGAAGTATGTAGTCAGTCAAATCAGAAGCTGAACCTGTTGTATTATATAGCTAACCAGAGGTTTTTATGGATAAAAATACTCCAGATTGATTATTTACAACAAGATTTATATTCAGAATTATTTGCATTTTAAAGTTAGTCAATCTGAATATAAAATTTAATGGAATAAATGTTTTTTTTTATCTTGTTAAGACTCCATACTTCACCCGTATCCAGCCATCTCAGGGTCCCATTTCAGGYGGCACTCGAGTCACCATTGGAGGAAGCTATCTTAATGCAGGCAGCTACGTGTCTGTCAGCATAGGACCACAACCATGCCACTTTAAAAGGTAAGAAAATGATCCATTTTGGACACTCAGACATCAAACTGAAAACAACTAMATTTGGACAAAAATACAAGACCAGTACAGAGTATTTAACCATAACTAGATCATTTGCATTGTAGTGGGAATGCTTAATGCTGAAAGTTTTTTTTTGCCAAATAGTTAAAAATGTTTAAGCTAGCTTAAAATAGGGAAAAAAGTAGCTGAAATATCTTAAAGTATCTGTGACATGCCTATCCTCCAAATACAAAAAGTCAAAGAAAGCATATTTATACTTAAGAAAATTGGCATAGTACATGATTTTGCCCATTTTGTCACATAACTGGCCTATTTTCTTTTAAATTTGTCTCGGCCAAAGTGAAACAGGAAGTGACATCAAAGGGGAACTCACTAAAATAAACTCACTGGTCTCGGTTTATTAAAACAATATTATTATATATAACTC